GACCTCAACACTAAGGTTAACCAGGAGAAATGTGACCCAAGTAGGGGTCTCCAGAAAAAGTGGTGCCGCACAGTAACGCCCCTTTTTTATGCTTGTCCAGTCAGGTGTCTCCCTTTAGCAAAGTCCGTCAAATCAGGTGTGTCGCTTTAGAATAGCTTTTCCTTGTGACACGCCCACTCGTCCGAACTCGTCTGCAGAGACCCCTACTTGCTCTCAAGGCTCCCGCAATGAGCATCTGCACACCACGTACACCGCAACACGTTCCTCACGCTGAAAAACAAAGCCAGGAGCGGCCGTGTGGGCAGCTAATAGAAATGAGAAAATGTCTACCTGTTTTTTTTATTTTTGTTTTATGTTTTGTTTTGTTTTTTTTTCCTGCGGTAGCAATCTGGACATGTGCCCAGTGGCCCTTGGGCAGAGATGGGCCTTCTGCTGGCAAGCAGAGAGTAGCTAAAGCCAGACTGGCAAAATATTTATTTATTTATTTATTTATTTATTCATTTATTAGTTTGTTTGTTTGCTTGTTGTTGCTTCATTTAAGTTGTCGACACTCAGTGGTGCCTGCAGCTGTAACCTTTATTACTATTATCAAATTAAACAAGAAATTATCTTTTGTGCCAAAAAGTTCCTGTACTTAAAATTAAATTTATCAGTGACAGGTGGGGGGGGGTGAGCGCATGGGTAAAATTTAATTGGTTTGCTTTTGTTGACTTGGTGGCAGGCCTGGCTTTTTCCATGACGTCACTGTGTGGTGAAGCTAAAAATGAGCGGACTTTTAAAAAGTTCGTGGAAACATTTTACCATAAAAAGGTAAAAGCTGATACTTTCGCTTCACCCACTCCTCTGGACGTCACAGACCTGAGCCTGGGAGTTTGCATCCCTTTTCAGTGATCACACATTTCCCTGTCTTTGTTTAGCTGCATTTTCGTTTAATCTTTATTACATTCTGCATAAATAAAAGCGGTTTTCTTGTCCTGGTTTTATTTTTTCAACCAGTGTCGGCAGCGCACCGCTGCGCATTGTGAGTGACAGCTGCGTCTCTGCCTTTACGCTTTTCTCTTCTCCTCCTCCTTCTGAGACAGAAATAAGGAGGCATTATCTAATGCAGAAGAGCCCAAACTGGGGCCCGCGGGCCAAATTTGGCCTGCCACGCCATTTGATTTGGCCCACCAACAGTTGCCAAAGTTACAAGGTTGTAACCTGTTATTTCCATTGGTCAAATAACTTTATAAAAAGGGCTGTAGTGAAGGTTTCAGTCATGGTGCTGACATATCTTTGATTTATTAGGATTAAACAGGAAACATGAAATGACAACAAGAAATATTCAGAACAGATTTAAGCCCGCATGTAGATTTGCACACTTTATAAGGCCACAAAAACTCATATTTTATCAATTTATGATATGTCCTATGAGCCTTTGCTACTTGAACGTATGGCAGACTTTCTCCAAGTGCACAGCCTAAAACAAAAGAGGGCCATTGCACGGCTTAATGGTTAAAAATAAAGGACTTTCCTTTAAAAAAGTATTTGTATTTCATGTATTATATAACTGCATTTGGCCCGCAGCCATGGATAGATTTTCATTTTGGCCCCCTTGGGGAAAATGTTTGGGCACCCCTGCTCTGATGGTTGCAATGGCGGTCACTAAATAATATTTGCCAACATTTTCTACTTTTAGTAATTTGACACAGTCAAAAGCGGGACGTGTGTGTGTGTGTGTATGTGTGTGTTGTGTGTGGAGAGGTTTTTCCTACAACATGGGGTTGTAAGAAATACGTGTTCTAATATCGGCTGACAATCAGATGAACACACAAATGTTAAATAAAATGATCTGTTATAGGAAATAAATGCCATACAACACCAGAATTCCGGAGTGGGGTTTATTATGACTTATCACCGGCTGACAAGTCAAAACCACACACTGAATGAAAAACAGGAAGTCCCCGTATAAATACAGTCCAGGAATCTTCAATGCCTGAGTTCGCCCTATGTTGGCCTACGGCTGAATCACAGGCATTCAGACAAAACAAACCTCACACTTGTGTTAATTCAGCTTTTATTCGGACATGTATCTACCCCATTTCAATTAACACATAATAGATCAACCATTATAACAATGTTATAAAAAAAGAAACCCTTTATACTCTCGTGTTGTTTCTGAAATCAGTACTAATCTGTAATAATTATAAATTTCTTCAGGGTATTTTTTTTTTTTTTTACAAAAAAAAGCAGCCAGATGGGGACCGAAGTGAATCATGGGGACCATTGTCAGGTCCCCACAGGTCCAAATGCATGTTACAGGTGTGGGGTTAGGTTTAGGACCAAGGTTTAGGTTAGTTTTAGGGTCAGGWAAGTTTCTGTGAGGTTAATTTTAGAGTATATGGTCAGGGTTAGGATATAAAGTCTAAAAAACATGAATGGAAGTCAATGGAAGGTCCCCACGGGGAGGAGAAACAAACATGTGTGTGTGTGCGCGCGCGTCGCATTGTGCGCTTGTTTTGTGCGCCAGGCGCATGTCGCTCGTGTGGCACTGTGATGGTCAGGGCTTTCAGCAGTTGCAGCCTGGTGAGGTAAAACTACAGTAGTAACACCTCCACACCTTAGTGTGGCACCAGAGGCTTTCTTCAGACAAGATTAGATTTATTTTTTTATATCCAACATCAAGTTTCTGTAAGAAATAAAATTAGCCGGACATATTTGGAAAAGACGCTCTTTACTCCACTGCTGCCACGTCGCTATTATAATAATCAATTTGATTTTGAAAGTAAAGACCGGAAGTAGTATTTTTTTGACTCCCGGAAGTGTTTCAGTCCTCTGACCACAGGCCGCTGAATGCAGAAACAAAATAGTCGGTCGGTCTGTTGAAAGTAGCTGTGCAGGAACGTTAGCTGACGCTTTACGCATGTGTGAGTAAAACGAAACAAAATATGGATCCCAACCGGATAATCCAGGCCCTGAAGGGGACCATCGACCCCAATCTGAGGATAGCGGCAGAGAATGAGCTGAACCAGGTAGGAATGCTTGTTGTTCTGGTCCATAAATGAGARCCAGCGGTGTTCGCAGAGGAGAACAGACTGAGCTTTAGTGCTGCGGACTGACGTGTGACGTACTACAACCGTTTTCTTTTCACCTTCTGACCGCTGTTGAAACAGTACAGGTAACCACCAGGGCAGACCGTGAAGTCTGTGTGTGTGTTTACCGGTGTTACACCAAATTCTGCGACCCAACATGTTCTGCGACCACAGGGGGCGGTAGAGTACATTCCTCTGAATGCACGTCGTGAAGMATATGGAGAGCCCTTTCATACGAAATTAAATAAATAAATAACAAAGTAAATAAATAATGTAATTAATAAAGTATAAATAAATATTCCATTAAATAAATAAATGTTCCTGTGAAATAAAACTAAATC